AAGAGATTTAGGAATCAGCCCTTTCAGTCGACAGAAAAACAAAATATAATTTCTAGAGGCAATGCCACTGAATTGGCAAATTTGCAGATTGGGGTGAAGTTCCTGAGATGATGCAAGATCCTGTCTGGACATTCCATTGGAAAATGTTGTCAATAGTCCCTTCAGGGCTTGCAGCAGAGGATGTGTATGTGTTTCAATGCGAATGTTTATGGTACAGATGTAAGTGTAAGTGTTTCATTGCACATATATCTGTTTAAAAACTTGCTAGAGTACCTGGCAAAATTCTGCAGTAATTCACGTTTAATAACTTTTACTCAGGACTGAGGCATTTTTAAAGAAAAGGCAATTCTCCGCTCTGAAAAAAACGCATGTGTTATAAGAATACATGTGTCGTGTGTAAAATCACATCATACCTTTATTGTGCCAGCTGGAAATAATATTTTGAGACCTCCTCACAGAAAACAGGAGAGGTAATAAGTGTTCTGCTGTGAAATTGAACATATTATATTTTAGAGTCAGGGGCTATGATTTTCATCCATAAGAAAACACCCTGAACACACCTCATTACAGTTGCAAAACACAAAATGCTTCAGTTGCTGGAAATCTGAAACAAAAACAGAGAGAGCTGGGAAAACTCAGCAGATCAGCAGCATCTATGGAGAAAGGAAAGTGAGTCAACGTTTCGGCTCCACGACCCTTCGTCAGAACTGGGGCACGTTGGGAGGCAGAGATTTTTAAGGACAAGTTGAGAGAGGGAGGCAGGACAAGGACGACAGAGAAGACAAAAAAGAAGACAAAGGAGAGAATGTGTTAGTTGATGGGTTAAAGAGATGATAGTGGCGTAAAACAAAAGGGGGTGGGGGGGGGGTGTTGAAACAAAACTGGGGAGAAGAGGTGTTAATAGTATAGAACAGGTAACACACCAGAGAGTGTCTGGGCTGATGATTGTAATGATAACAGAAGATAACTCTTCTGGTAACAGAAAGGGGGGGAGGGAAAGGTGAGCTGTTATGGTCTGAAGTGGCTGAAATCGATATTGAGGCCAGAGGCCTGTAGGGTCCCTAGCAGATATAAGATGTTGTTCCTCAAGCTTTCGCTGTGGATCTCTGGAACAGCATAGAGACCATGGATGGAGAGGTCAGACTGTGAATGGGAGAGCAGGGGGGATTCTCTACAGATGCTGCCTGACCTGCTGAGTTTTCCCAGCCCTCTCTGTTTTTGCCTCAGTACAGTTGATTCGGTTGCCAACAAACACTGAGAGACAACAAACAGCTGCTGCCCCCAGTATGTTGCTTCCAATTGAGTCTGCACTCCCTACTGACTGCCTACTAGTTCCTGCGAACAGTATAGAGATTTAAAGGAGACTTGTCTTTATGGGAAAGTATTTGGCAAACCATTGTCTTTGTTTGAGCAAACCTGCATGAGACTCTATGGTCTTAGGCACTGGTCTATAAAGTTGTTGGACTAATAATTTTGTGTAGGTATAAATTGTTCAGATTGCTTTTGCACAGCAAGATTAAAAATATACCTAAAATGTCAGTTTTCTTCCTAAGCTCTAATGAAATCCCTGAAACTATGGAACTCTCTTCCTCAATCCTCTGCCTGGATTCCTCCCTCCCCATCTTCAGTTCACACCTAAAGACTTTCCTTTTCGACTGTGCCTATGGTCACCTCCTGCCTCTCCCTGGCTCTGCCTCAAGCGCCACCCTCCGCGATGCTGCAATGCATGAAGGGAGCTATATAAATGCAAGTTGTTGTTTTTGTCTGCTTCTCCTCTGACCTTTATAGCTTGGAGAATTAGATTCTGTTTAGTAGCGTCATTGTGGGCACGTTATAAGAATATAACTGCAAAGGGCTTCCGAGATGAAAATGGTAAATGGGTCACACAGCACTGCAGTACAGCACAGAGCCACACACACCCACCATATGGGCTTGAAATTACCATTAAGTGTATTGGTCTCATTTAGAAGCACTGGTTCAACAGCAATTGCTAGAGGTGAAAAAGATCCAATGTTGCTGCTCTTGATCTCTGTCCAGTGTCCCTGCAGAAAAATGCTCAACTGTAGATATTGGAGACAGATTTGGCTTCGCCTCAGATCTCCTTCTTGGGCAGAGATTGCAACACATATTATTTTAAGGGTTTTGAGGGGTGGAACTGTCCCTGCAATCAGTCACTGTTTTCAGCAGGGAAAGGGTCAAATTGGGAAAAGGAAAAACAAAGTGATTCCTGCTCTGGCTACTCGTCAATTAAATTATTGTGAAGATTTGTACGAGTTTAAATGAAGTTCTGTATATTCTACACACAAAATGATTTCAGTTTTAGAATAACAGTTGTTTTTATGTAAATCAACAGGAATTCTAGCAGGATTCCCTCTTAAGTCTCGGTGTCAGTCTGGCTTAGCTGGTAGAACTCTCATTATGGGTTATGTTATGTCCAAGCTTATATTCTAATGCAGTGCTGGGATGTGCTGAATTGATGGTGGTGCTGTTCTTTGGATGAGACATCAAATTGAGGTCCCATCTACCTGTTCAGGTGGGTGTTAAAAAAGATCCCACGGCACTACTTGCTTCCCAAACTATATACTGTATCCCGAGGTATTATTTTCTAGCAGAAATATATCTAATTTGTTCTTGAAACAAACAATATTTTGTGCTTCCACTCTCCCTAGGGAGCCTGTTTCATAAGTTTACTACTCACTCACTGAAGTAGTGTTACTGCAGATTTGTTCTGAATTTACGCTCCTTCAATCACAGGCTGTGGATGACCTCTGGATCTACTGTTCAGTACAAGATAAAACAGCTTATCAGGTCTACATTGTCTATTCCCTTCAGAATCTTAAAGACCATAATCATATCACCTCTCAACCTTCTCTTCTCCAGTGTGAATATGCCCAGTTTATCTAATCTCTCCTCATAGTCCAGTTTTTCCATCCCGCAATCATTTTGGTTGCCTTTTTCTGTATCCTCTCAAACGCTGCAATATCCATTTTATTATTGCAGTGACCAGAACTACACACAGTATTCTAAGTGCGGTTGCACCGGTGATTTATAAAGTGGCAGGATTACATCACTATTTCAGCGCAATATCGTCTTTTAATGCAGCCCAGCATCTGGTTTGCCTTACTCACTGCTGCCGAGCACTGTTGCGACTCTTACCCGCCATGTCTACTCAACCCTATTCTAAGCTCTCACTTACCTCCCCAGCTCCAAATTTGGATGTCCTCAATGATCCCTCTTCTAAACTGTGGCAAAAGTTTTCACCAGATCTAAGAACATTGAGGATTTATAAATCCCACCTCCCCACACACACGTGAACGTGACTCTCTGACAGCTCTACATGAGCTCAAGAAAGCTCAATGTTCTTCATAATTTATTCCTAGGCTTTGGGAAAGTAATTTAAAGTCAAAAATACTTTGTTCAGCTATAAAGCTTACTTGTTTTGTACATTGTAAAGTGAAATTACACTATTTGATCCCTGGTAAATGGAACCTTATAGATGTCTAAAATTAAAATAATTAAATTCTGCTGTGTTCAAAGAAAAACACTGTTGTTTCTGTCGTTTTTCTCTTCGAGATTTAAACACTAACCCTTGACTAGTTTTGACTTTTCTTTTTGATGTTTGTGTTTATAATTTATGAAATTTGACGATATGTCTTGTGAAAAACATAGCTCTAATAATCTGCCATGCATCTGATCTGAAAGGAGAGAAAAAGAAAAGCTACTGCTTTAGATTAGGATTTCATTATTGGAGAAGTTGAGACATACATTTCTGAGTTTTGATTTTATGATTATCTGTCATTTGGCTCCTGTATACTGTGCATAATAGCAAAATCAATTTAGTCCCAGGATGATTGACAACAGGGCTATAGAACATATTTAAGATATTATTTTGTAAATGTTATTTTAATATCATTTGCACCTGGATCAGAGTAATTTTTATGAATGAACATTTTACCTTTACTACTTAGAACACTCGTGATTATCAAACTATTCTGATATTTCCTGAAAGCCTTCAGCAAGTGAGACCATGGCCAGTGAAGAGCTCAATTCCAAACAGTGTAATTGGATTTATCCTCCAACTCATTTTGAAAATTAGCAGTATATTCTGATTTATGTGCCTGTCAAGGAATGGCAGTTCATTTTATACGTTATTTGGAGTGTTTAACAAAATATCAATATGGCTCAGTTGTTATTGATCCAGTCTCTGGTGGAAACTCTGCATTACCTGAGTTGCTTAATAAATGGAGACAAATGGTTTCTGACACGAGCTGATACAAAATGCTCTCCTCGGTATATTTTCAAGATTGTTACCCTATTCTGGGGTCAAATACGAGGTTCATTCAGTTTATAGTTCGAACAGATGCCATCATTACTACTTCAAGGTTATCATGTACAATACACATTTATATAGTGCCGTACTTTTTGAGAGGACATCCCAAAGTACTTGACGATTCTAGCTGGACACTGGAGCTGAGGGGGATGAGGTGGAGAAAGATGACCGAAAGCAGTCAAAGAGGTGTGTTTTGAGATATGCCTTGAAAGAGGGGGCGGAAGAGAGCAAGTAGGAGGGACCAGAGCACCGAAGTCAACTGGCTGAAAGCCCACCCACCAATGGTGGGGCAGAGAGAGCAGGGTATGTGGAGGAAGCCAGTGTCTTGTAATCAATCCTGGATGTAATCTAGGGTGGATCTCAGCAGCTGAACGGGGAGGAAGGCAATATCGCAGAGATCGGGGAAAGCTGAGCAAGTGAGAACATAGAAGTGGGGTTTGAACGGGGGGGGGGGGGGGGAGGAGGGGTCAAACACAATCTTTTGGTCTCCTGAAGTGTTGCTGCTGCTATGATAGATGCCATATAAGTGTAATGAAAGTTGTTGGTCCATTATTTTCTGCTATTTGGCACACGCTTAGAAAGTCGGTCCATTTAGAATCAAAAAGGTTTAATTAATTAAATACCAAAAAAGTTGCTTTAACAAAAACACAAAATAAGAATGTACTACAATCAACTGAATTGTTTTAATAATCCGCAATAAAACAAAACAAGGACTTTTTTGCTGAAGATATTCCTTACAGATAAAATATTTCAGAAAAATTATTAGTCAATAAAAGGTAACTTTACAAGAAGTTTGTGTTCAGCCTATAAACAAGTTTTAAATAACAAAACAGTTTCATAAATTTAGCTCAAGTGCATTAGGAAAATAATTCAAGAACATTTTTCAACTGTATTTTTTTATTCAGGCCAACTGCAAAATCATAATAAATAAGAAACACTGGTGTTTTAGGCAAGAAATTGATCATTTCTCATGCAATCGAAGAACAAGCGGAATTTAAATACACATGAACATTGGCGAACATTGCCATTTTGACACAAAGGATAAGGAATCTTGGCAATATTATGTAACTGTACAGCTGGATAACTCCAGAAGACATTTAGCTGCATTAATCACTCAAATGCTCAGAATGCAATACCACAATTTGAATTTATACTTCACCTTTATATGGCTTCCACCTTGGTACATTTTTAAAAATGTAAACTGCAGACTTCAAAATATCCTAGGGAGAGCCATAATACCTAGTGTTTCAGTGTTAAAAGCCTGTATCAATGTAACACAAAGTTTTAAAAAAATGAAGCAAATGGCTTTCTTAAACATATTAATGAATAGATTTTCTTAAGCGATGCACTGTGAAAAATGATAAAGGTTTTAGTCACTGGTTGAGAGAATGAAGACAGATGAGCGAACTACATCTAAATAAGACAGGATGCTGAACCATTCCAGTTCACATTGAAGCTAAAATAATTACACTTCTAAGGTAATGGACAACTGTAGGGGAAATACTTTCAAATACAAGGGACTCCCTCCCACTTTTGCATCCCTCTCCACGTGTCCCCGGTGTCCAGTTCTAAACAGAACCCTATTGATTAAAATATATATTTTTTGGTATGGGCTCCCAGTAGAGCTGGAGAGACATTACATCAGAACACAGGATATCGTGTTTGCTTATCAACTGGAGTGTACTTTGCATGATTAGAAATAGAGTTAAGTTTTCTTTTTAAAGCAGTCAGTCCAGTTCTGTTGCCAACTTGCATGGCTTTTCAAAAAGCAAAAAAAAAAAATGGCTTGTGGTCAAAGTCTAATCATACATATAAAATTTTAATTGGGATTGAGAAAGTAAACTCAGAACAATACTTTCAAATGCACTGGCAGTGTAATAAGAGGGCACAGGTTTAGGGTTGCAAAAGGTAATTTTAGAACAGACACCAGGAAATATTTATTATTACAGGCTAATTAAGAACTGGAATAGGTTATCAGGAAGGGTAGTTTAGACCAGTTCTCATTTAAAAAAACACAGCTTGATGTTCTAATCAGACAACTCTAGTGTTGGTTGGTATTCTGGGAAGAAAAAAATTAAATGGGCTGAAGGATCTTCTTCATCCAAATCTCTCTTGTGACCTTGTGAATCTATTGTGTCTACAGGACACACAGTGACAATCCATTTGGTCATCAGTCGGGTGTATTGGATTATTTTACTATGCTGAGCAAAAGAGCTCTTTACATGAAATAATTTTGTGCGTCAAGAATATTCTGTGGGCCACGCATTGAAGACTAAATTATTGGTTTAAAACACTTGATTCAGATATTGGATGATTATTCTATAACATCAGTAGTAACATGTCAAATGTTTGCATTAATCCTTTTAAACCATTATTAAACAGGAGTTTGCTATAATATCTCCTAGAAAGTATAACAAAATAACTTTCCCCTTCAAAAAAGTCTGATCGATGGGCGCTGTGGAGAGTTACCTAAAAAGCAAGCATCATAGCACGCAGGGTAGATGGGTGCTCTTTTTTTTCTCTGGGTATTTATCCAGCGGTGAAAGACAGTGACTGGAACCTTTACCAATAGCAGTTAGTTGAATTATCAAGGTGTAAAGTTTCTTAAGGACTGCAAGGAAACTACATTCCAGTTAGCAGCAATTGTACACAGATTTGAAAAAGCAGAACAGCCTATGATATTTGGAATTTTGCCTGTTTTGGTTTCCTGGATTTAATTTAAGGAGGGCGACCGGTCTGTGTTCCACATGAGTTCTATGTACGGCCATTTGGTCTGCAGGCAGCGCTTGACTGGAGTGTCATCAGTTCGCACCATTGGGTCCTCAAAGCCCATGATGACAGCAGTTCCTTCAACGTACATAACCTTTGTGCAAGATATTTTTTTAGAAAAGTTTAACATTTTCAACAAACACAGCAGCAGTCCAACAACAACTTGCATTTAGTGCCCTTCACATTGAACTGGAACAACAACAAAATTACATTTGTATAGCGCCTTTCATGTCGGGAGGATGTCCCAAGGTGCTGGACAGTCTGACTGTCGGACCCGAGCTGGGGGTCGGGTTTTGGGGAGGGTAGAGGGCGGGGGGGAAGCAGGGTGATCGAAAACATGGTAGAGGAGGAGGGTCTTGAGAAGGAGGCAAGGGAGGGGGTTGAGGCGGAGGGCGTGCAGGATGGAGTTCCAGAGGGTGGAAGGAAGAGGAGACAGGAAGGTGACCATAGGCGTGGTTAAAGAGGAAAGCTTTAAGAAAGGATTTGGAGATAGAGGGAGGTGAGGTGGAGGGATAGAGGCAAAAGGTTCCAGGGTCTGGGGCATAATTACACTATTTTCATATGACACTTTCTGAAAATGATTTGGCCAATCAAAAATACTGTTATTTTAATAATGATAATAATCCTTGTATTTAATATAGTGCCTTTCACATTGGGAGGACATCGCGAAGTGCTTCACCATATTTAATGTGAATGTAGTAACTGTGTTCTGATGGTGAAGGAGGCAGCCAATTTGCACACTACAGCAGTATCCCACAAGGAGACATAAAGTGAATGACTGATTTTATCTGGGGTGATTAGCATTTATATTTAACACCTTTTCACAGTATTGCAATCACATCTAAACAGAAGTAAGTGGCAATCGCACTCTGCCTGCTCTGTCAGCAGGAAAATGTCTACATTAGAATAAGCAGCCTTTTAATGTTAATTACAGATGTGAGGGGACACTTAATCTTTTTCCTTACAAATACATACAAAAAGATCATCAGCGGACGGCTTGAGAGGATGATGTTTGTGGACAGTTTTTTCTAATAATAATAATCCTTGCATTTGATATAGCGCTTTTCATGTCCTCTAGACGTCTCAAAGCGCTTCACAGAACATACTATAAAGTGAATTGACTGTATATTTGTGGGCGAAACGTGGCAGCTAATTGTGCACAGCAGTGTCCCACAAACAGTAGTAGATTGAAAATGATCAATTTATTATTGTTTTTGGTTTTGGAGGGATTATTATTAGGCGTGTGGAGTAAGGAAACTTGCCCAAGGTTTCGCCCTGCCTGGAATTGAACTCAGGTCTCTCGCTTGCAAAGCGAGTGCTCTAACCACTGAGCTATAGGACTTCTAAATAAGATATTCCCCTTTCCTGTTTCTTCAGCCTTTTTGTGACTTGCACAATCCACTGAGCGCAGGATGATTCACTTCCAAGTCACCTAACAGTCAATCCAAAAGTGGGTGACTTAAGAGATAAGCGTAGTGAAAACTCATTTTGTGGAGGACAACATGCTCAAACGTGCATCTCCCTCTTCCTAAGTCACTGTGCTAGTTACTCCTCCCGCTGTGAAAGGCACTATACAAATATAATCTTGTTGTTGTTGGTGATCTCCACATGCAAAACACAGCAGGGGTTTGTGGAAAGCAAATAGGGGCAACACCACTGGCTGAATTTCCTCTCTCTAACCCAGGAGTTCCGAGGCCAAATTGTTTTGTGTTTTAATATGCATTAAAGTTGATTGCCAGAGCCTACATCACAATATATTAATGCCAGACCTTTGGATAGTATGGGTAGAAATGGACATTTAATTCCTCATTGCACTCTTTTGTAGAGTTACAAGATGTGAGTATATATATATAAGGGAACTAGATAAATACCTAAAAAGAAGTAAACTACAGAGATATGGGAAAAGGGCAGGTAAATGCAACTGAAAGATTGCTCTTGAAAAAGCCAGCACAGCTTCTTCTGTATTGTAAATGTATAGGTTCCATGGCCATGCAAAGTTGTTTATGTTTTGGTAAATCATATCATCAGAAGGTACATATATTTAGAAGTTTTTAAAACAGATCATGACCAATACAAAGTAATTATGGACATGAAAAAGTAATAAATAAAGTTAGTACATAAATATTCAGCAAACTGGAAAGAGCCTCACCTTTTCATTGTGGTTTGACTGCTTTAGGCCATTGTGGTGGTATACAGGGAATGAATCTTGGATAGTGGATTCCTAAAAACATATCAGAGAAAGTTACACATGGATTTGTACTTTATTTTCCACATTGAACTATATGTGTTGGGTCATAATGCAATTGGTCACACTCTATCAGTTACGTTATATGGGGATTAAAGCCAACAGATGTTTACAATTTAAGCATTCAATTTAGTAGTTACTTTTGACACATAAATGGCCTTGTATACAGTAGGGAAATTAGACTATTATAGACAGGGTGTTCACAAAGTTCTGTTACCCCGTTTTTTTCTTACAATAAATTTTTGTTTTCTGTTGCAGATGAGTCAAGTGTAAGTTCCTCGTCACTCCATCCACGTTACGGAAGATGTCGCACCGAATATGTTGATGAATCAATACCTGCCATGAAAACGATGGCGCTCATACTGATCCTCTGGATGTCTAAATACAGTTAAACACTTGTACTGAATATAATGAAGTATTTCTAATTTCAACTGTTGGTCAGTCCACTGTAGAAAAATACGTGGGAGTACTATGACTTTGTGAACACCCTGGAATTATGGATGAAAACCCATGTGGCAAAGCTGTGCATTTTGTACAAGAACAAATGTTGACGAGTTATTCAAACATTAAGACCATAAACCACAAAAAACCACATCTTTTCATTGTAGCAAATCTTTGCCTAATGGATATCAAAGCACTTTGAGATGTTTATCTTGCAATAATATGAATAATAATCTTTGCATTTGATAAAGTGCCTTATCACGTTGTAGAGAAGTCCTTGCGACGTGACGTCCTTCTGATGTGAAAGTCGCCATACAAATGTAATTTGTTGTTGTTGTTATGTCTCAAAGTGCTTCACAGAATTTACTGTGGTGAATTGACTGTATATTTTGAATGGTGCTATATGAATGCAAGTTGTTGAATTTTCCATTTCATAATTGTGAAATTAATACCAACTCAGATTACTGTGTGTTGGATATATTTTTCAACCTCTTCTATCCACGGGCTTCTCTATTCACCATGTCTCATCCACTGGTAAGAGCAGGCAACCTGCCGAGCTTTGAGTCGGTGCAGCTCTGTTAACCACCTACAATTGTGCAATGGCAGTCTGGATAACTACTGATAGTTTTGTTATGAGGAAGTGCTGGGACTTCTTGCTGGCACAGCTGAGACCAGCAATGTAGCTATGGGGGGTCTCGAGTGGGAGCATATAATCCACCATTTCATGTCCCCTTAAAACCAAGTTAAAGCAATTTTAGCGACAAACGTTTGATGCTAAAAAAAAACTTAGAAAATGGAGGAATAGATATCCATCTCCAAAAAAAAAGCCCACACACATTTACAAGCACAGTGGTGAATGAGCATTTCAGTATCCAATTACTTGGTATTCTCTGGAGGGTATTAAAAAGTTCACATAATGATCATTGACATAGATCAGAGAGATCAAAATTGGAGTTGCTTGTAAGGATTAAGGCCCTTAAACGGCACTGAGTGTTTGCAAGGTTTAGAATTCTCAATGTATAAAAGGATAGGGTGCTTTTGTCATGGAAGAAATAGTGAAAACTCTGAGATGGCTTTGGATCATAAATTGCCGGCTCAGTGTCCATGGTGTCCAATAGCACCCATCACAGGCTGATTCAGTTACAAATATTATATAGAACTGTTACCTTCTATAAAGTGGGTCACTGTTCTATTAAGAGTTAGAGATGTGAGAGAAATGCTGGAGCTTGTACAGACGGTCATTAGTGGTGCTCTACAGAGGTGAAGGGAGCAATCGCAAGATTGCAACATTGGTTGAAATAAAGAAGGCCCTTCAACCCGTCTTGTCTTATCCTTCTCATGGAAAAAGCTTCCTCACAAACGCCGTCTCATCCTTGGACTTTCTCTCCCTCTGGCCTTCCACCCGCAGTGATCCAAATGCAACACTCAAGCTAAACAATCAACTCTCCTCAACCTTTAATTCCCTTGTCCCGCTGCAATCCAGGATTATCTCCAAACCTACCCGCTCCTCCAGTACAACAGTCATCTCCACTCCCTCAAATCCCAAACCAGGTTGCTCGAGCGCAGATGGCACAAAACCGGCCTCACAGTTCACCGCCAACTGTGGTTTGAGCATTTTCACACCTACCACCATTCCCCCTCCCTCTCAAGCCAAAACAGAAAATTTGTATCCACCCCCCCAAACACACACATTTTTAAAAATTTTCAAACGCCAAGATTTTATTATATTTTTATTCATTATTTATTTATTATTATTTATTTATTATTATCTCTTATTAAAAATTATTAAAAGCCTGTTAATAATCCCTAAAAAACCCAATAATAAATTCATCATTTAAATCCGACGACTGTTTGTGGGACACTGCTGTGCGCAATTGACTGCCGCGTTTCACCCACAAATATACAGTCAATTTACTTTACATTCCATTCTGTGAAGCGCTTTGAGATGTCTAGAAGACGTGAAAAGCGCTATATCAAATGCAAGGATTATTATTATTATAAAACCTCCTTCTATTCGCAGGTCATTCTCAAGGCCAAAAAAATCCCTAAAGTCTGTTCTCCTCGACCCCCCACCTCCTCCAGGCCCTCTCAAGCACCAGGGAGGTTCTGGACTTCTTTATGTCTAAAATCAACAACATCTGTCTGGCTGGCTCCTCTTCCTCTACCCCCACAATGTCACCTACCGCTCCTGTAGCCCCCCCCCATGCCTCCTTCATCACCCTCTCCTCCTACTATAGCCTCCACCCTCCACTCCTTTGCCCCCATCTCTCCCGTCTCTCTTTCCCCCAGTATCACCCATGTGAAGCTCACTATCTGCTGCGTCAAGCCCCTCCCAACCCAGCTTCTGGTCAATCAACTACCCCTCACTGCTGGCTGACACAATTAACCAATTCCTCTCCTCAGGCTCTGTCCCACTCCTCCTCAAAACTGCTGTCATTACTCCTCTTCTTAAAAAACCTACCCTCGATCCCTCCAACCTCACAAACTTCAACCCATCTCAAACCTGCCCTTCCTGCCCAAAGTTTTGGAACTCATGGTTGCAAATCAGCATTGCTCCCACCCGTCCCTCCACTCCCTACTCGAACCCCTCCAGTCTGGTTTTCGCCCTGCCCACAGCACAGACAGCGCTCGTCAAAGTAATAAATGACATACTCTCTTTCTGTGACCAGGGCTCACTCTGCCTCCTCGTTCTCCTGGACATCTCCACCGCTTTCGACAGAATGATCATGCCATCCTCCTCCACCACCCCTCCTACCTCATCAACTTTGTGGGACTGCACTCGCATGGTTCGAGTCCTACTTAACAAACTGCCAACAATACGTCTTGTCCAATGGTTTTTCTTGCTGCCCCCACCCAGTTACTTGCAGGATACCCCAAGGCTCCATTCTTGGCCCCCTTCTTTTCCTTGCTATATGCTCCCTCTCGGGAATATCATCCCCAGACAAGAGGTCAATTTCCACAAGTTTACAAATGACACCCAAATCTACTTCTTCTCCTCCAGCTACAACTTCCAGTCTACTGATGTTCTGACAATTTGTTTGATGGACATCAAGGCTTGTCCATTGCGCTAATTTCCTGCAGTTGAATGTCGGCAAGATGGAAGCCACAATTTTTGGCTCCTGTCAATGTCTTCTCTCCTGTGGATATGAACTACTCAACCTCCCTGGGCTCTCCCTCAGACTCTCCAAACCTCTGCGCAACTTAGGCATCAGGTTCAATCCCCAGCTTTCCTTTCTACCTCACATCCATTTCCTGACCAGGACCGCTTTTTTCCACCTGTCATCACACTGGCCGTCTCCATCCGTACCTCACAACCAACGTAGTCGAAACCCTCGTCACTTCCAAGCTGGACTTCCAATGCTCTCCTCATGGATCTCCCCAGATCCAGCATACACAAAATGCAATTTATCCAACACTCTGCCTGTCACCAACATACTCACCCGCACAAAACTCTGTACCTCCATTACAACAGTCCTTGCCAGGCTCTGTTAGCTCCCAATTACCGAATGGACTGATTTCAAGATCTTCTCACTTGTTTTCAAATTCCTTCATGCCCTCGCACCTCCCTACCTATCTGCTTACCCAGCACCCTCGGCTGGGTATGGCTTCCTGTTTGTCCCTCGTCTCCTCCGCTCCACCATAGGTGGCTGTGCCTTCAGCCCCAAAACTCTAGAACTCTTGTCCCTCAATCCCTCTGCCTTGCCTCCTCCCTCTCCACCTTCAAATCCCGCCTAAACACCTTCCTTTTTGATCATGCTTCCGGTCATCTCCCTTTCCCCCGGCTCGTTGTCAGACTCTGCCACTGTCAAGCATTCCAGAAAATCTACCCTACTGTCTTCCTAAACTGTTCTTTAAATAAGTGTCCTGGCTTCAACCACTCTTCCTGGCAACATGTTCCAATTCTTAATTACCCTTTGGGTAAAGAAAACCTTCCTGATATCTGTCCTGAAATTGCCCTTTCCAACTCTAAACCTATATACCTATATCTCGTGTTCTATTTTCCTGGTGCAACCTCAAGTATTGTTTTTGGTTTAATGTTTCAATTCCATTTAAAAATGTATACACCTTTGTAAGATCCCATCTGAAACATCTTCTCTCAAGATTGAAGAGCCCCAGCTGGTCTAATTGTTACTCATAGCTCGTTCCCCAATCCTGGGGATCATCCTCGTTGCTCTATGCTGCACTGCCTCCAGGGACTCTTGATATTGCAGTGACTCAAACCTAGTATTTTCTGTACTGCTATTCCTGAATTAGCTGTGCCTCCCTCAAATTACAATAAAATGACCCTTCCTCCAACCCAGATATTTAAATGCTGACTAAAATGTGACAGTTGGCGATGGCACAAATAATTATCAATAGTAGATGTATTATTAATACAAACATTACAGTTATCAACATGTAGAATATGCCAAAACAAAGCTTGAATTTGTTTCAATGAATTTGGCTGGGAATAAACATGCATTTGGGAGCTGAGGAAGAGAGACAAAATCATTCCATGGTTAGAATACCTAGAAACAGCTCCCCAGAAGAGGAGAATGTATCTTTTAGGGTCTCCAGTCCCACACATACGTCTTTGGCAGGAAGGACATACAATATTAGAGACAATAATACCACTAATTTACATTTATATCATTTATATACCATCTTTCACATCAGAGCGGCAACTCAAAATAGTAATAATAATCTGAGGGGTTGGGGGTGCTGTATGGTTGAATGTACAGTTGAAGAGTAGGTGATACTGCAGGTTTGAAGGCGAGGAGGGAGCGGACAAAACAGAGGGGAAGGAGCTGTGGGTTGAGTTCTAGAAAGTGGGGACAAGATGGCTAAAGACTCTCCCAGATAATACTGACATAATCTTGTGGCAATTTCAAACGGGATTCCATAATATGAAAACTAAAATTACAGACCGTTGAGCTACAGAACTTCACTTTAAACAATTTAGTTTTGGAATGGAGTTCCTGCTGGTCAGCATAGTTTACTTGTGGGTAACAGAAGAAGTTCTCACTTGGTTTCATTATTCAGCAACTCTGTTTAAAATTGCTTTATATTAGACTCCTATGCGTTGAGGAATATATTAAAAATCTATTGTGGGATTCTTGACTTATTAACATCGAATGGAAAAACAGAAAATATTTATAAAAATAATCAAGTGATGCTTGTGAATAAAGAACGGCTTTAAAAAAATTCTCAAAAAACTTGCATCTTTTATTTATTGTTTTAAAGCATGAATTTGCAAATCAAGTTTCTGTATGTGACATTCTGCTGAATCTATTCCTACCACATACTGTTGGGGTTCAAAAAGGTTTTGTTTTTCCATACACAATACATGAAAATGTGCAGATACTGAAAACAAAATATGGGGTGGATTTTAACAGATCATGTTAAAGAAGGGAGAAGGAAAGAGGAGAGATGGAGGCACTTGTGGAATATAAACACTGGCGTTGACTGGTTGGGACAGTTTGCATGCTTCTATGTTGAAGCGTTCTAAAACAACAACAACAACAAGATTCCATTTATAGAGCGTCTTTCACGGCGGGAGGACGTCCCAAGGCGCTGTACAGTTGAGTCAGGACCCGAGCAGGGGGGAAATGGTCAGGGTGAGGGGAGGGAAGGGAGGGAGCGAGGAGGGGGTAGAGAATCGAGAGAGGAGCTGAAGGCACGGTCAAAGAGAAAGGTCTTGAGACCGGCCTTGAGGGAGGAAAAGGAGGAGGCGGCGAAGGCACTGGGGGATAGAGTTCCAGATCCTCGGGGCTGAGAGGCTGAAGGCCCGACCACTGATGGTAGGGCGGTTGGGGCAGGGGATGTGGAGCAGACCGGAGCCAGAGGAACGGAGGGTACGGGCAGGTAGGTAGGGGGATAGTAGGTCAGAGAGGTAGGAGGGTGCAAGGCCGTGAATGGCCTTGTAGGTGAGGATGAGGATGTTGAATTCGATCCTCTGGGGGATGGGGAGCCAGTGGAGGCGAGCGAGGGTGGGAGTGATGTGGTCCCGAAGCCTGGTGCGGGACAGTACACAAGCTGCAGAGCTCTGAATGACCTGCAGCTTGTGGAGGGAGGTGGCGGGAAGGCCGGCGAGGAGAGAGTTCCTATAGTCCAGCCTTGAGGCGATAAAGGCGTGGACCAGAGTTTCAGCAGCGTGAGGGGTGAGGTAGTGCCATAGTCTGGCGATGTTCCGGAGGTGATGGAAGGCGGTGCCAGTTGTGGCACGGATATGAGGGAGAAAGGACAGCTCATGGTCAAACAGAACCACGAGGTTCCTGACCGGCTTCGAGAGGTGGAGAGTGCAGCCTTCGATGCTGATGCTGTCAGCGCCTGAGGTGCGGAGGCACTGACACGAGCCAATCAGTTTTACGCACGTTGAGCTGAAGAAAGTTGTCTCTCGTCTAGGAAAGTATTCTAAGTATTTCTATACAAGACCTTGTCCAATGACATTATTTTTCCCACAAAATATACAGTCAATTCACTTTATAGTATATTCTGTGAAGCGCTTTGAGACGTCTCAAAGACGTGATAAGGCACTATAACAAATGCAAGAATTATTATTATTATTAAATGCACAAAGTCCAATTATGAATACAAGCATGAGGCTTTAGGGATGAGTCAACCAAACCACGTCACCTTATTTTGGAAAGAAAAGCAATTCAGTAAGAAGCAGTAGATCCTAAGCTTATAGACAGCTTAGTGATGAGGGATGCTCACTGTTCAGTTGATCTTATCATTGTAATATGAACTATGGTGACTAAAGCCCCAGCTCACTAATGAGGGCATCTCCCTAGTAAGGGCAAAAATAGGTCAGTCCTTGACTGACACCACTGGCTCCATGTCTCTCAGACAATCAATTTCCTACAAATCCCATTACACCCTGGCACCTCCCTATCTGCCTGATATCCTTCTCTGACCAACTAACTCAGGCCTGTTCCCATCCTACCATCGATGGCGGCATCGATGCCCGAGCTTTATAATTCTAGGCTCTGTCATTTGGAACTCCCTCTTTTGAGCCCTTCATCTCACTCCTAGCTATCTGACTTCAAGTCCTGTCTTACAATCTACTTTTCGCCCACAAAATATAGTCAATTCTCTTAACAGTATATTTTGCGAAGCGCTTTGAGAGGTCTCGAAGACGTGATAAGACGCTATATCAAATGCAAAGATTATTATTATTATTATTATTATTATTCAACCTGATCTATGGTCACCTCTTTCTCTCCTCTATCCTCCCCCCCACCAGCTCAGTAAACATTCCACTATTGTAAAGTGCTCCAAGACATTATTCTATATGATGGGAACTGTATAAATCAAGTTGAAGTTGTTGTTTGGTAGTAAATACAGAAAGACGTCAGAAATGTATTTCTCCAAGAAAGTGGTTAAGTTTCCCACTGAGTGACAAACCACTGCAGAACTAATGTCTGCTTTTGCAGCTGTGAGGAAACATTCAAAAGCATTGCTAGAGATGTACTCAAATTATAAGAGCCTCGTGAAGAGCCTGGTGTATGTAACTAAAAAGACAGAATCTGGCATCTATCCAAGAGCTCTTAGGTAGACTTATGTGTGACTACTGCCTGGTCGTAATACAAAAACACAAGCAAGTTTAAAAAGCTTCTCACCCACTCATTCTGTCACCAAAACTCAATGGTAACAGAAGAGAATAACCAGAATAGTTAAACTCTGCGGTGGAAAAAGCTAAACCCAGACCTGAAATCTCTTTGACCCTGAAGTGCAAAACACATATGTTTAAAAAGGCAAAGCAAAATGTACACATTATATAAACCTTTGTGGGATGTTGTGTTGGAAAATGTAACTTGATCGCTGGGATCAGAATACTTCTCTTAACTCCTACGGTTCATGATATTATTAGAACCAACCCACTCTACTGGATTATTTCCTTGTAAAAGTCTCAGCGAATGCTATTTTATCTATTAATGATGTCTTTAATCATAATACTAAAGCATGAAATTGATTTTTTAATGTCGGTACAAGAGAGATTTATCAAGATGATACCAAGGATGAGTGATTTGACTTATGAGCAGAGACTAGAAAGGAACTGGGTCAATTCCATTCTGCCCACAAAATACAGTCAATCCACTTTACAGTATATTCTGTGAAGCGCTTTGAGACGTCTCGACAATGTGATAAGGTGCAATATCAAACGCAAGTATTATTATTATTCATTGAAACGGAGAAGGTTGAGGAGAGACCTGACAGTAGACAGGTTTTAGGAACAGAAGTAGGTAATTCTATGTTATTTTCTTAAGACTACGGCTGAACTGTAACTCAATACCATTTGCCTGGTTCTTCTCTATAACCTCCAATAATTTAAATAGCCAGGTATTTATCTACTTCCCTCTTAAACATTCCCACCGACTCTGTATTAACAGTTTTTTGAGGAAGTGAATTCCATAACTGTTTGAGTAAAGAAGTCTTCTGATTTAGTTACTAGCAGGTTTAGCTCTAATTTTTAAGATTATGTCGTCCTGCGTTCTGAACCATTGGAAAGAGTCTCCTTATTTACTCTGTCTATTCCCATTTTTACCTTAAAACACCTTGATCAGACCATTCTTTAACCTTTCCTATTGAATGGAGTTCAACCCCATTTTGCCATCATAATTAAACCCATTCAATCCAGGCATCATTCTGATGAAGCTGCACAACCTCCAAGGCAAGTATTTATTTTCTAAGATTGGTGCCCAAAACTGTATACAGTTCTTGAAATGATGCCTGACTAGGGCATTATACACTGCAATATATATCACTTCCTTTGTTTTAAATTCCAGCCCTCTTGTGATAAAGACATTCCATTGTCATTGGATAGAGGGACATCATTTCCACTGGATGGTGTCAGCGACTAGAGAGCATTAATTTAAGATAGTTATTAAGAGAGCAAAGGGAGAAATTGTTTACAGAGTTATTGAGTTTAGGATGTGGAATGCCCTTCCGGGTAAGGGGATTGAGGCAATATCCATATTAGCTTTAAAGAAGCAGACAGTTGTGTAAAGAGGAATATTCTGTAAGGTTATGGGAAAAAGCCAGATAAATGGGATTGAATGGATTGCTCTCTCAAAGAGCTTGCACACATGTTTTTTTAAGAATATGGAATTAGATGCTTACCTGTTCAGGAAAAAATTCTTGTCGAAATTTTCCCAGTAAAATGATTCCTAGTCCTTCAGGGTCTAATTTGTTCTTCATAATGTTTACACTGAAACAGAAATTGAGGTGTCAAGGTTAACTTCACATAGGATTTACACAATGACACTTATAAGAAACTAAATTGAATGATGATATTGTCCATCAGCTGAAACTCACAAACCAGATGGATCCCATCATGCAGTATGGAGTGAGACCAAAAAACATTTGAGAATGTGGGATGCACTACCTCAGAAAGCAGTAGAGGTAGAACCAATTATGATGTTTAAAAGGGTGCTAGAAATATACCTGAGTAGTAAAGGTTTCTCCCAGTGTCTTGGCCAACAATCTCACAGATTAAGAAAAAAATGTAATTTGTTACAGGACATTGCAATACACAAACTGGCTGCCGCATGCACCTACAAAATACACAGTCACTACTCTTTTGTACCTGTTCCTTTGTCTCACTTTATCTTGTTTCCACGTGTAGATGGCATAAATACGTAAAACTTTCAATCTGGTTTGGAAACTCTTAAGTTTGGTGAAGGGTTTCTGTATGTGTCAGACACTCAGCTGATCAAAAAAATGCTTTGATTTGCTTTACATAAAGCCATTTGTGTTCCCTTGAATTCTTTGGTCTGCATGAAGGGCGTGGCACTCTTCCATTCACAAGTTACAGGTGCTTTTTCGTAAAATGTTGGTCATTTTGAACACAAATAAGTAAGTGAATAACAGTAACATGAGACATGATTTTCACTGATGAAGTAACTTTATGAAGTCATCCCATCCCTGACATGCCTGTCGGACATCAAGTCCTGGATGAGGGCAAATTTCCTACAGTTGAATGTGAACAAGACTGAGGCCCACCTGATTGGCTCGCGCCAGCGCCTCAGCACCTCAGGCTCTGGCAACATCAACCTCCATGGTTTCACACTTCAACTCACCGCCAGTCAGGAACCTCGGTGTCTTGTTCAACCCTCAACTGTCTTCTCTCCCACATTCAAGCCATGACCCGTTCTGCCTTCCCTCACATCCGTAACATCACCCGACTCCGCAACTACCTCACCCCTCAGGCCGTTGAAACTCTCGTTCATGCCTTCATCACCTCCAGGCTCGACTATGCAAACGCCCTGCTTGTCAGCCTTCCCAACTCCTCCCTCCACAGGCTGCAGATAATCCAGAACTCTGCAGCCCGTGTCCTCTCCTGCACCAAACTCCGTGACCCCATCTCCCCCACTCTCACCCAACTCCATTGGCTCCCTATCCTTCAGAGGATCCAGTTCAAGATCCTGGTCCTCACATACAAAGCCCTCCATGTCCTTGCCCCACCCTACCTCTGCGACTTCCTAACCCCCTACCAACCCGCCAGTTCCCTCCGCTCAGCCGGCTCTGGCCTGCTCCACGTCCACCGACCCACCCGTCCCACCATTGGCGGGAGAGCCTTCAGCCACTCTGCCCCCCAACCTCTGGAATTCCATCCCCCAATCACTCCGCCTCGCCCCCTCCTTAGCCTCCTTCAAGTCCCGCCTCAAGACCCTCCTCTTCGACCATGCCATCGGCCACCCCCCTTCCCCTCCCCTCCCTTCTCCTACCCCCGACCCCAGCTCGGGTCTGAAATGCTGTACACTATCCAGCGCCTTGGGACATCCTCCCAATGTGAAAGGCACTATACAAATCTAATCTTGTTGTTGTTGATAGTGTGGAAGCTGGTTCTGAACAAAATTACTTAAGATGACAACGATTTTTAAAAATAAACATAATTATCTCTGTCCCAGATGATGGAAGTGTGAAGGAGATTGCGGCCAGGTCAGTGTCACTTTACACAAAAGCACCACTAATACTTAAAGCAGAGTTTATAAAGTCAAAGCCGCTGTCAGCCTGTGTTCCTCTTGTACAGACAGATAGGTCCCATTTGCCTACGCCTTAGGAAAGTTAGTGGAGTAAGATGTTTAATCTCTTCCCCAAAAATTGAATGTTCAAGCTGATGCTGATACAATTTAGAAGCTGATTTATGGCAGTTCATACTTAGGATTTTGAACTCACATAGTCTAGGCTGCACTCAAATGCAGGGCTGGAGGTGCTGTCCTTTGAGTGAGATATTAAACCGAAGCCTCATCTGCTTGTTCAGATGGATGTTAAACATTCCATAGCACTACTAAAAGAAAGAAATTTATCCCGGTGTCCTGGCCAACAATTCTTCAAATAAAAATTGGTTACTCACTTCATGGCTCTTTATGGGATATTACGGTGTACAAATTGGCTCCCAAATTCACCTACAAATACACAAACACCACACTTCACAGCAAAATGCACTAAAACATTTTGAAAGGTCTGGATAATAAGGTGCCAGATCAAATGCAAATTATGAAGCATTATTATAGTCCTTAAGCCAGTTTCCAAATTAATACTTAGGATATGTAAAATTCTGCAAAATCCTAAATGTTGAGAAAAATGAATGTATTAGTATTGGGAAACTTTTGAATCAGGAACACAGATATTTATAGTTTTTATAGTGACAGTGAAGAATCCACCAAATCATTGATGCTTAAATGATTGGTCGAGATGGAATGGAAATCACTTAAAAAACTGTCAAAATATTGGGAGGCCATATGCCAACTGATAAAATTGCAATGTAAATACAGGAGATTTTCAAAATTTAGCAAAGATTATGAGAAGCATTTGCCTGAGGGAAAATACAGGTGTATTATTGCTTCTCAAACAAGTATGTTCCTGATGTACACTTAGCATGGTAATGATTAGTGCAATAGTGACATTTTAAAAAGCACTCCAGCAGCTTTGTGGCTGTTGGCAAAAGTGTCCTTGATGTAAACGGCCTTTCTCCAGGGAGCCCTCTGTACAGCACACATTTTGGCTCTGATGAGACTGTGTGTTATGTAGGGGGTTGTCTGGGGAAATGCTCTTTTACATTGTAGGGATTTTGCTGGCAGCCACACTTGAGTGATGCTGCAAGAGTTTTATAGATGCCCATGTAAAGTTTGCATTGATTTGGCAGGGTTTAATCCTGACCTGTCAGCAATGGAAAAGGCAAAGCATAGATTCTCTAGGATGTTACCAGGAATGAGGGGTTCCATTTTGATGAGACTTGAGAAATTTCTCTAGGCTTATGTAGATTTTGTATTGATTCAATGGGATCAGGGTTTTAACATTCACCCATCAGCAGTAGAAAATTTATAATGTATTCACTTGGATGTCACCAGGAATGAGAAGTTTTCTTATGCAGAGAAACTTCTCATGCTTCTTAGGACTTTTATGTACTACTGATATAATACTTTCATTTTTATAGCGCCTTATCACATAGTTGAAAAGTCTCAAAGTGAAACGTCAAAGGATTTTACTGTAAATTGTAGTGATTTGTAGGCAAATATAGAAGCCGATTAGCGCACAGAAATATTCTACAAACAGCCATGAAGTGAATAACCAATTTTATCTGGAGAATTGTTAACCAGGACGTTGGGAGAAACTCCCTTCTCATTTCGAACAGTGCCTTGTGATCTCTAATGTCCATCTGGAAAGGCAGATCCTTGGTATAACATCTCACCTGAAAGGTAACACCTTTAATGATGCAGCTGTCCACAGCATTGCATTGGAGTGCCAGCATAGACTAAGAGCTTAAAGTATTGATGTAGGGCTTGAATCCACAATCTTCTGCTTCAGAGGCGAGTGCTACAAACTGAGCCACCCTAAACTGACATACTGCAGCTTAGAAGGTAAAGGTCTTCAATGTTATGAAAGCTGTAAATAGCAATACATTATTTCTGCTGGTTGGCAAGTCAATTTAATGTATTTGCAAAAGGAATTAAAGGGGAGATTAGAAGAAAAAATCTTTAACAGAGGATGATTGGAATGTGCAATTATGTGCCCCAAAGACCATTGTTAAGGTAGATTCCAGAAATTCCTTTAAAAAGGAATTAGATAGAAATTAGAAAAACAGGACAATTAAAGGCTACACAGAGTAAACAAGGTATCTCATGTGGCGAAATCTACCACCGCTCACTTGAAAGACCTAATGGCTTGTTTCTGTCCTGTGCCATTCCATGATTCTATGAACCACAGCGAGATTTGCTTGCATTGAAACGTGATCACTAACACGGTCAACTATGATAAAAAGATTAAATATTTATCAAAACAGAAAAGCTCAGAAAAAATCTGTTTATGTTTAACTGTACTTTCAACACCTTTGGGTGAAGGCATGGAGAGACTTAGTTATAAAGAATGTTCACAAAGTCTTGTTTCCCCTTGTTTTTTTTCTAATGAATTTTTATCTTCTGTTGTAGACAGAACTTCCTTGTCACTCCATCCATGTTATGGAAGATATTGCACCGAACATGGCAACAGATCATTATCTGCCATGAAAATGATGGCGCTCACGCCAATCCTCTGCACGTCTAATTACAGTTAAACAATGGTACTGAATACAATTAAGTACTTCTAAATACAATCATAACCATTCTTACACATGTTTCAACTGTTGGTCAGAGCACTATAGAAAAAACACATGGGGGTAACAGGAGTTTTATGAACACCCTGTAGTTGAACAATGCCAAAACTCACTTTCCAGGCTCATACATGAAGCTATGGAGAATGGCTGGTATTGGTTCCTGGCAGAATCTAGTTCTTCAGCAGAGGGGGAAATATTGGCAAAAGAGATCAGTATTATTCCACAATAATTGGCTACAGATTAAATTTCAATATTATGTCAGCGAATTTGGCACAGATGCTTTCAGGGATGAGATTATGCACCAGCTGAATACAGCATCCTATCCCAGTAAGCTATAGCTTCTGCCAGAAAAATACATGCTTTCCATCCAACAACAGATCCCACTTATGACCAAATCGAATATATGAGAATGTGTGAGTAGATATTAATTTACCTAGCTCCCATTTTGGGTCGTGTTCCTGTACAGCTCTATTAAGGTCCACAATTTAAATAATTTCATGTAATGCATCAACAAGGTTTTTACAATTCTCATTTCCCATAAGAACAATGATAATCTCCAATTTAATTTAAGGTTTTATAATATCATATATCATGACGTTGCAAGGAACACTTACTATTCAGGATCTGACACCAAGTCCAATGCTCTCATCACATCCTCCAGTAATGTATCTGGTATAAACCCATTATCTGAAATGAAAAGAGGAAACAAGCCAACTGAAACCCAATAGTAATAAAAAAAACTACTGACCACAGTCATTTTTAGATACGTCTTTGATAAAGGTTTAAAACTTAACAGCATAAAATATACACAGTAATGAAACAAATGCTGCTAAATCACAATATAGTAAAACTTTTTTTTTGCAAATAATACTTGAGTTCAACCGGAATCAGCTTCATCAATGCCTTCCAGTTTATTCGTTAAAATAAAGACTATGATCACATTCTCAATAAATCTTTGTTCAAATGCAATCCTCAATGCTATGAACTGGAATCATCACCATCACTCTTCTCAGATCCATCTCAAATGCTTAAATGCATTTGAAGATGCAGCATCCTAAAGTCCCATTATTTGGTTTAACCTGGTCCAAATATAGAAATGCCCCAAGTATCAAATATGAATAATTCCCTCTGCAACACCATTCTCAGTGCTTGAAAGCCAGATCGCATATTTGATTTCTGGTTTGTGGTTTTTAACCACTGCTTTGCTTAACTCTGAGGTTTTTTGTTCAGTAAAAAACTGAACAAAATACAACGACGACAAGATTATATTTGTAAAGCGCCTTTCACGTCAGGAGGACGTCCCAAGGCGCTGGACAATATACAGCATTTCAGAAAATGTGGTTTTATCAATGAATTTTGATGTTTTGATTCAAGTAAATAAAAATCCTTGCATTTGATATATCGCCTTAACACATTGTCAAAATGTCTCAAAAAGCTTTACAGGATTTACTGTAAAGTGGTAATTGTGTATGTGTAGCGAATCCAAAAGCCAATTTGCACAAAGCAATGACCCATAAATGGCCATTAAGTGAATGACAAATGTCATCTTATTTATAATCTATTAGTATTAAGATATATCCCATACTTGATTAATATCGTTGGTAACACACTGACCGAATAATTTCACTGAGTGATCACAACCAACAATTTTCCTCTTCCAAGTATAGATTTCATATTCCCTCTATGAAAACGTATATTCAATTCACTAATTCTTTGATCATGAACTCAACTTGCCTGTCAATTGAAACTATCATTTTGTTTACCTGGCTCTCCTGGCCACATAGCTGGATGTCATCAACAAAAGTTTTGACTACCTTTTTTTTTTACACACAGTTTATAATAAAAATAATAATCCTTGTATTTAACATAGCTCCTTTCAGGACATAAGCCTGTCTCCAAGCTCTTGACAGCATTTGCTATAAAGTGCATTTCAATTTTGTAAGCAAATGGCGAACTATCAACGATCAAAACATTCGCCTGCAGAACCAACCATAGTCTGGGTAATGCTTTGCTCACTTTCTGCTTTCTATTATCAAGCTGACCACCACAGTTCTTCCCTAACAGTCTCAATTCTAGATTTGCCAATCATTTCTGCAAAGAGCTTCAGTAGATTTGTAAATCACATCTATTGCTTCAAAAACTATGCTGACCTGACAGCAACAGGATATGCATTTTCCCATTTCCGACTGACTGTTGACATGCTAAAGTGGAGTAAAAGTTGCCACGTACTAGTTCACACAATAGCAATATTATCCCAATAGGTCGTGCATCCAGAATAAATTGGGGTGTTTAAAGGGAGATATATAGAAATCAAACCATCTCAAAAAACTGAATTGCCTCCTCTTGTTACAATATTCCAGACACATAAAATTTGGAGAGGAAAACTTGAAAAGAGCCAAAATAACAAGAGGAAATTTTAAAATGTAAATTCAAGTATCTCAATTATTGCTTTTATGTTTATATGACTACGAATTACACCAGCTTGACTTGCTGGATTCCTAATCTGCTGTGAAAACAATATTTTAAAACTTTTTTTTTAAAAAAAGGCTTGAACTTACTGCTGACTGCCAAAGGAAGCTGACTGGCTTGGATATTGTACAAATGGCAGGAAGTAATAAGTCAAATATAAAACAATGAAATGCTCTATTTAAAAACTCTTTGAAGATGTATTCTCCCTTTGCCTCGCAATATGAAAATAGAATTATGTGCAATCATCACCATTTAAATAGGGATTCAAACATCTGTTCAATCGTAGCATATAATGGAATGGACATGGTTGTAAGCCAAAAGCATAAAACAGAACAGCACCAACCTGTTAATGAGTTACTCCCATTTTTTTTATTCCATATATATGATGCAGGAACTTGTTATGCTCCAAAGGTCAAAGTGCTGGCATAGTCACCCTAAGTAGGGTGCAGGATGTCTCAGAAATAGTTCATACTGGGAGTAATGCAGGAAGTCCCTAAGGCAGCATGTATTAAAAATATAGTTTTATCCCACAAACCATCAATCTGGCTTGTACAAATTGTTCTGCACTTGGGACACCACATTGAATGAATAAGATAGATATACATCAGAGTAAAATATCAAGCTTATTCCACTCACAATAACAATCTAATCTTACAATTGAGCAACTCAGGAAGCACAAAAGGTTTTACCATCTCTCCTCCTACCAGTTGCAAATGGTGTACATAAATGTGTGAACCTTTAAAGATGAAATGTTCCCATGAGACTAACATATAGGTGGTTATTCTTTATCCCTAGAAACACCAAATAATATAGCAGTAGTTTGTGCAAATCTCAAATTAACAATTGTGTCTGATGTGTATTGTTCTGATTTGCAGAACAGGGAACAAAACTGCCTGATATTCAGATCATCTCTTGGCGTCAGCCACCATTTTTGTGAAGATGAAGAATATCAGCGCCCAAAGGTTCTCCACGTGTTTTGTTGCACCACTTATGCACACAGAAGGTCACCACACCAAAAGTACGCTCTCCCCTCGGAAACGAAGAGACAATTTCCATGAAATAACAAAAGTACAAGTGCTACAAACTGTATCAGAGGATCCATAGTATAAAATCGATATTATGACACAAAAATAGGAGGAAGTGTCAACACAGAGGACGACATTAAAAAAATGCAGCGAGACATAGATAGGTTAGGTGATTGGGCAGGTAGGTGGCAGATGAAGTATAATGTAGGGAAGTGCGAAGTCAAAAACAGTAGCAAAAACAGTAGAGCGAGTTATTTTTTAGAAGGGGAGAGATTGGAATGTGTTAGTGTCCAGAGGGACTTGGGTGCCTTGTACACCAATCACAGAAAGTTAGTCTGCAGGCGCAGCAGCAATTAGGAAGGCGAACGGTATGTTAGCATTCATTATGAAAAGATTAGAGCACAATAGTAGGGAAGTCTTGCTGCATCTGTATAGGGCCCTGGTGAGACCACACCTGGAATACTGTGTGCAGTTTTGGTCTCCTCATTTAAGGAAGGATGTACTTGCCTTGGAGGGGGTGCAGCGTAGATTTACTAGGTTAGTGCCAGGGATGAAGGGGATGAGTTACGAGGATAGGCTGACCAATTTGGGCCTATATTCTCTAGAATATAGAAGAATTAGAGGGGATCTTACAGAAACCTATAAGATCATCAAAGGGCATGATAGAGTAGATAGTGGGAGATTGTTTCCCCTGGTTGGAGAAACTAAAACCAGGGGTCACAACTTTAAAATCAGAGACCAGCCCTTTCGCACTGAGTTGAGGAAGAACTTCTTCACTCAAAGGGTGGGGAATGTATGGAACTCACTACCCCAAAGGGCTGTTGATGCTCAGTCCTTGAACATATTCAAGACTGAGATAGATAAGATTTCTTATTGCAAAAGGGATTATGGGATATGGGGATAAGGCAGGGTTATGGTATTAGCTGGAGTTAGATTAGAAGATCAGCCATGATTGAATGGCGGGGCAGGCTCGAAGGGCTGAATGGCCTACTCCTGCTCCTACATGTTATGTTATGTTATGATATAACACAAGTGNTTTTACATTGATTCTACACTAGTCTACCACAGAACAAAAACATTAATGAAACAGTCAATAAAAGCCAGGATATGACTTAGCCAATTGAATGTTGCCAACTCCAAAGCATCATGCCATGCACATATTAAGACTACAATTACATGTGGTACAAAATTCTTAAAAAAAGGGAGTTTTATATTGAGACAGATTCTTTTATTCAAAAACGTGAAGCAGACAGGTAGTGTAAACTGGAATATTGGAAGGAAAATGAAATCCCAAACATACAGCGTGACAGCAACGAATGAAAGAATCACAATTTTATCTGGCAATAAGTTGTTCATGCCCTCCAATAAATTCAATGCTCATGCTTGTTCAGCATTCAGGCACTAGTTCACACCTCATAAACTCCTGAATTAATTGCTTAAATAACCAGCATTAAACCCATTTAGTTGGTCATGGAAGAGTGGCAAGGATTTAGTTGGTCGTGGAAGAGTGGGAAGGATTTACAGTGTACCAGAATACTGTAGCATTTAATAATGTTATGCTGAACCAATTATTTTCACTTTTCAACCACTAGTCTGTATTCCCTTAAACCAAGTAAAAAATCTAAATTGCTGCCATTGCATCATATAAACATTCACTACTTCCTGAAAGTCGACAACATTCCTTGCACACCTACTGTTGTAAATTTATTGTTAGCTTCAAAGTATGCAATGATCCAAGCTTCACAAAAAATAGTAACAACTCATCCTCCATATGTTTTTAGTCTCATGTGAAAACATGTTGGCAGTAGCATCCAGCAAACATCAGGCAGTTGGAAAGATTTGTTAAAGAATGAGGTCATTATGTCCTGCAGCTCTACTTTCTATCCACTATATATGCACACAAATATTAAAAAAAATCATTCATTTAAGGGGAAAGGTACAGCTGAGTTTTCTGATTTCATCAGACAAAACTGTAATCGATTGGCATAGGGGGATGCAGTGAAAATGGTATTTCTTTCCTTTTTGTCTGTTGGATAAACTTGGTGAGCCTGAACTTACATATTGTTTCAGCCTTAGGATTATTTATTGCCTTAAAAACTTAAATGTAGCTCCAGTTTTTAAGTTAGTTTTCTGCAGGTCTTTCAAGGGAATGCAGAAAATTAGTAAGATTGAATTTAAGAAATTGCCTAAATT